GCATGAGGAGTCACAGCCAGAGCAGAGGGAGAAGGACATCCCTAAGAAGAGGTGGCTTTAGAGTCTGAAGATGGTGAGGAAAGCATTCACATGGGTTAAAGGGGAATGCCTGATGTGAAGAATCAGAGCCCAAGCAGAGTGAGGAAGGCATCCTTCAAGAATGGAACAGGGTGCTTCTTTTTTTTTCCTCTCTCTTTTTTAAAAATTATACTTTAAGTTCTAGGGTACATGTGCACAACGTGCAGGTTCGTTACATAGTTATACATGTGCCATGTTGGTGTGCCGCACCCATTAACTCATCATTTACATTAGGTATTTCTCCTAATGCTATCCCTCCCCATCCCCCACCCTCTGACAGGCCCCGGGGTGTGATATTCCCCACCCAGAACAGGGTATTTCAAAGCCTAAGTGAGGTTAAAAGAGTGTCCATAGTGGAGCACAACCCAGCATGCAAAGTCAGCGCTGAGCAGAGTGAGGAAGGCATTCACACAGAGATGAAACCGGGCATGCAGTAACAGAGTCCAAGTGGAATGAGAAGGGTGTCTGTGAAGGCAGGCAGACTCATACAGGGCAACAGATTCTGTGCCAGGTGAAGAGTACCTCAGTGAAATGAGGTGGCAGTCTAAAGCAGGGTGTCAGAACCTGAGCAGGGTGAAGAAGGCATACATGCAAGGGTAAGACCTGGAATGGGGTGACAGAGTCCAAGGAGAGTGAGAAACCCTTCTCACTCTCCCATCCATGGATACCCATTCATGAAGGGGAGAGACTTCCTGGTGCAGGGTGTAAGAGCCCAGGTGAGAGGCTCCCTGGTGTGGGGCATCAGAGCGCAAACAGTGTAAGAAAAGCATCCATGTGAGAAGAGGGGCAGCCTGTCATTGAGGGGTCAGAGCCTGAGGAAGAGCAGGGTAAGGAGGGCATCCCTGGAGAGAGATGGCCTGGCGTGGGGTATCAAAACCCGCAGTGCAGTCAAGAGTATATCCACACAGTGGAGGTGAGGTGGGGTGGGGATGGGCGGTGTACAACATCACAGACTGAGTAGGACAGAATGAGAATCCTCACCAAAAACAGTATCCTGGTATGGCACACCAGTAGCCAAGAAGGGTGAGGAAGGCATCCATGCCGAGTAGTGGCCTGGCAATCAGGTGTCAAAGCCAAAGTGGGGTTAGGAGATATCTTCATAGGGGAAGGGGTGGTAAAGACATAGATTAACTACATAGAGGGAGGGGTGTAATAAAATCATTAAGGATAACTGAAGTCATGTTTCTCACTGTCAGAGAAGGGAGTTACCAATATGGTAAGGGAAAAATAATAAAATAAACCTTATGGTATCCGATTGGAGTCAGAGGTCCAATTAGAACTTGTAATTTTAAATATAAAAATATAGATGTAGGTCAGGCACAGTGGCTCACGCCTGTAATCCCAGCACTTTGGGAGGCCGAGGTGGCCAGATCACAAAGTCAGGAGGTCGAGACCATCCTGGCTAACACAGTGAAACTCTGTCTCTACTGAAAATACAAAAAAATTAGCCGGGCATGGTGGGGGGGCGCCTGTAGTCCCAGCTGATGGGGAGGCTGAGGCAGGAGAATGGCGTGAACCCAGGAGGCGGAGCTTGCAGTGAGCCGAGATCATGCCACTGCACTCCAACCTGGAAGACAGAGCCAGACTCTGTCTAAAAAATAAATAAATAAATAATGATAATAATAATATAGCTAGATAGACAGATAGATAGATGTATACACACACACACACGTATATATATGTCCTAGCTCTATCTGCTGAGATAGCCTGGGATTAATGACATCCCAATAGCAACAATCACATTTAGCATACCAGATCCCAGTTTCTAAATACCATTCTTGGCTAAAAGAAGCCAGAGGTCCTTGGAGAAATGACTGATTACAGAGCTGGGACAGAAAACGATAAGATGAGCCTGGAACACCCCTTTGAGCTAGAAAGCAAGGAAGTGCTCAAGAATGACTGAAGGCATGTCAAAAGAACATATAAACCAGCTTAAAGTGACTTCCATTGGGCAAATTAGTGACAATTTGAGGATCAGACTAATGATAGTAACACGTTATTGAATAAAATAAGAAACAATGAGTCTATACTGGTACAGATACTGCTTGACTTACCATGGGTTTACACTCCGGTAAACCCATTGTACATTGAAAATATCATGGGTCGGCCGGGCGCGGTGGCTCAAGCCTGTAATCCCAGCACTTTGGGAGGCCGAGGCGGGCGGATCACAAGGTCAGGAGATCGAGACCACAGTGAAACCCCGTCTCTACTAAAAATACAAAAAATTAGCCGGGCGCGGTGGCGGGCGCCTGTAGTCCTAGCTACTCAGGAGGCTGAGGCAGGAGAATGGCGTGAACCCAGGAGGCGGAGCTTGCAGTGAGCCGAGATCGCGCCACTGCACTCCAGCCTGGGCAACAGCGTGAGACTCCGTCTCAAAAAAAAAAAAAAAAAAAAACAAAAGAAAATATCATGGGTCAAAAATACATTTAATACACTGAATCTAGCAAAATCATAGCTTAGCCTAGCCTACTTTAAATGTGCTCAGAACACTTACACTAGCCTATAGTTGGGCAAAATCATGTAACACAAAGCCTGTTTTATAATAAAGTGTTGTACACAAAAGTGTTGTACACAATTGGGCATTTTGTAGACACAATAAGATGTGAAAACACAAAACACAATATCCAAGTAATGTTGTCAACACAGTCTACTATAAAATTTTGGTTGTTTACCCTCATGATCTCATGGCTGACTGGGAGCTGCCACAGTCGAGCATCGCAGGAGAGTACTATACTGCATATTGTTAGCCTGGAAAAAGATTAAAATTCAAAATTTGAAGTACAGTTTCTACTAACTGCATATTGCTTTCACATCACTGTCAAACATCACAAGTCGGGGACCGTCTGCATGTGTATATATAGCCACAAATGTATTCTTAACAAAATAGGGAGGAAATACTCATGACAATTATAATCTGTGTTTCTGTAACTGGTCTTGTGGTCGTAGCTGGTATTTATAACTATGTTCTACTCCCATTCTATATTCCCTTTGCCTTCAAAAAGCACCTTAGTTGGTTGTGGTTCTTTAATTGGCATGGTGACCCAAACATTTATTTGAAGGGTGTGGGTCATTTGTGCTCCTACCTGAATTGGGTTGTTGCAGTTTCCCCTTAACCTCAGCCAGAAGGCATGCTAACACTAAGATGCCCTAAGGGATCCCTTGTATTCTAAACATACTCTTTCTTACCTCCTTTGTAGAGAACTAATCCAATTTCCCCTTGGTAGTCTGGATCAGTCACCCCAGCTAACACCATAACTCTCTTCTTAGCCTGTTGACTCAGAGTTATGAGGGCCCGAAGTGGCCAGGTGGCAGTTTTAATTTCCAGTTCAGTGGAATCATTGTTATGTCTCCTGGTGGAAGCATTTCTCCCTCTGGAACTAAGACCTCCAGGCCAGCAGAGCATAAAGTCATAGGAACAAGAAGCAAAAATTTTGCTTGTGGGTCACTACAGGTAATGATAAGTGGTGTCATTCCCATGTCCACCTCTTGATTCCTGGACCTGTGCATCATAATTACGGGAGATACAGTACTGTATATTAGACACTGATTAAGAGCAGAAACAGCCTTCCAAAGAACCTTGCCCAGCCCTGCAAAGTACTGTCATCTACCTGCTACTGTAACTGTGTCTGCAAAAGGCCATTCCATACCACACAGCAATTAAAAAAGAACAAAATGGTACCATTTGCAGCAACATGGATGCATCTAGAGGCACAAATATCTTCACAGTTTTTGCTAGTTCAGATGTCCATCCACATACCTCTTCCCCGTATTTCTTTGTCATCAGTTTCCCAATCATGTTCCTTCCAAATCCCTGACTATGTAGCCAATCCACTGGCCACGTTCCATGAATTGGTCTATAATTACATGTCTGGTTCTTTCTCTTTTCAAGCAAAGTGAAAAGCCAGGTATACTACTTGGTATTCTGTCCACCAGGAGGATTTTCCTTCACCATAGTTCTTTAGGGATGTCCCAGAAAGGGGCTGTAGTGCTGTAGCTGTCCACTTTCTGGTGGAGCCTTCATATCATGAAGAACTATCTAAACCAGGCCCAAGTCTTCTCTTCCTCTGTCAACTGATCAAGATATCTGCAAACTAAGTTATGACATAGGGCTAGAGGGCTGATATACCCCTTCACAGGCAGAACAGTGAAGGTGTATTACTGGCCTTTTCAGCCGAAAGCAAACTGCTTCTGATGGGCCTTATGGATAGGGATGCAGAAAAGGGCATTTGCCAGGTCAATAGCTGCATACCAGGTACCAGAAGATGTGTTAATTTGCTCAAGCAATGAAACCACATCTGGTACAGCAGCTGCAATTGGAGTCATCACTTGATTAAGCTTACAATAATCCACTGTCATTCTCTAAGATCTATCTGTCTTCTACACAGGCCAAATAGGAGAGTTGAGTAGGTATGTGGTAGGAATCACCACCTTTGCATCTTTCAAGTACTTGATGGTGGTACTAATTTCTGCAATTCCCCCAGAAATGAAGTATTGCATTTGATTTACTATTTTCCTAAGTAGAATGCCTCTAATGGCTTCCATTTGACCTTTCCCACCATAATATCCCACTCTCCATAGTAAGGGAACCATTGTGGGAATTCTGCCAGCTGCTAAGTATGTCAATTCCAATTATGCACCTTGGAACTAGGGAAATAACTGCAGGATGCATTTGGGGTCCCAGTGAACCCACTGTAAGTTGGACTTAAGCTAAAACTCCATTGGTAACCTGACCTCCATAAGCTCCTACTCTGAGTGTACGGCCATAGTGATGTTCCAGGTCTCCTGGAATCAATGTCAGTTTAGAACAAGTACTCCCTGAAAGATCTGATTTTTCCCTCCAATGCACAGTTACTCCTGTAAAAGGCCACAGATCCCCTTGGAGGAGGCTGGGACAAAGATTAACAGTATACATTTTCGGACAACTCGGTAGTGGCCACTGCGCAGACCAGACTTCGCTCGTTTTTGTGCGCCTCGCTCCGCTTTTCCTCCGCAACCATGTTTGACAAACCCGATATGACTGAGATTGAGAAATTCGATAAGTCGAAACTGAAGAAGACAGAGATGCAAGAGAAAAATCCACTGCCTTCCAAAGAAACGATTGAACAGGAGAAGCAAGCAGGCGAATCGTAATGAGGCGTGTGCCGCCAATATGCACTGTACATTCCACAAGCATTGCCTTATTTTACTTCTTTTAGCTGTTTAACTTTGTAAGATGCAAAGAAGTTGGATCAAGTTTAAATGACTGTGCTGCCCCTTTCACATCAAAGAACTACTGACAACGAAGGCCGCGCCTGCCTTTCCCATCTGTCTATCTGGCTGGCAGGGAAGGAAAGAACTTGCATGTTGGTGAAGGAAGAAGTGGGGTGGAAGAAGTAGGGTTGGGACGACAGTGAAATCTAGAGTAAAACCAAGCTGGTCCAAGGTGTCCTGCAGGCTGTAATGCAGTTTAATCAGAGTGCCATTTTTTTGTTGTTGTTCAAATGATTTTAATTATCAGAATGCACAATTTTTAAAATATGCAAATAAAAAGTTTAAAAAAACAAAACAAAACAAAAACAAAAAAAAACCCACCAGTATACATTTTCAGTAGTGTACCAGGGTTTTTCCTTGAGGAGACCCAGCCTCCCCTTCATTCAAGGGATTCTGGGTTTGTAAACTGGCTCAAGTCTGAGAATTGATTGAGGGACCATGATTCTCTGCTTTTATGATTTGGGTTAGACTTTTATTGATTTGACCTGGAAGTTTTCTGCTCACACAGATTAAATAAAAATTTAGTATGCTACCCCAGTATTACCCTAATACCAAAACCAGGAAAGGACATAATAAAAAAAGAAAATTCCATACCAATATCTTTGATGAACATAAATGCAAAAATCCTCAACAAAATATTAGCTAACTGAATTTGACAACCTATCAAAAAAATAATACACCATGGTCAAGTGGGTTTCATACCAGGGTTGGTTTAACATACGCAAGTCAATAAATGTGATACAGCACATAAACAGAAGTAAAAACAAAAATCTTATGATCATATCAATAGATGCAGAAAAACCATTTGACAAAATCCAGTATCCCTTTGTGACTAAAACCCTCAGCAAAATTGGCATAGAAAGGACATACCTTAAGGTAATAAAAACCATCTATGACAAACCGACAGCCAACATACTGAATGGGAAAAAGTTAAAAGCATTCTCCATGAGAACTGGAACAAGACAAGGATGGCCACTTTCACCACTTCTATTCAACATATTACTGGAAGCCCTAGCCAGATCAATAAGACAAGAGAAAGAAATAAAGGGCATCCAAATTGGTAATGAGGAAGTCAAACTGTCACTGTTTGCCAATGCTGATTGTATACCTTGAAAACCCTAAAGACTCATCCAAAAAGCTCCTAGATCTGATAATTAAATTCAGTAAAGTTTCAGGATACAAAATAAATGTACACAAATCAGAAGCACTGCTACACACCAACAGTGACCAAGCTGAGAATCAAATCAAGAACTCAACCCATTTTACAACAGCTACACACACACACGCACAAGTTGGAATATACCTAACCAAAGAGGTTAAATATCTCTACAAGGAAAACTAGAAAACACTAGGCCAGGCGTGGTGGCTCACACCTGTAATCCCAGCACTTTGGGAGGCTGAGGTGGGTGGATCATGAGGTCAGGAGATCGAGACCATCCTGGCTAACACAGTGAAACCCATCTCTACCAAAAATACAAAAAATTAGCCAGGCATGGTGGTGGGCGCCTGTAGTCCCAGCTACCCGGGAGGCTGAGTCAGGAGAATGGCATGAACCTGGGAGGCGGAGGTTGCAGTAAGCCGAGATCATGCCACTGCACTCCAGCCTGGGTGACAGAGCGAGATCCGTCTCAAAAAAAAAAACAAGAAAGAAAACACTGCTGAAAGAAATCACAGGTGACACAAATGAGTGGAAACACATCCCATGCTTATGGATGGGTAGAATCAATATTGTGAAAATGACCTTACTGCCAAAGGCAATTTATAAATTCATTGGAATTCCCATCAAAATACCATCATCATTCTTCACAGAATCAGAAAAAAAAAATTGTAAAATTCATATGGAACAAAAAAGAGCCCACATAACCAAAGCAAGACTAAACAAAAAGAATAAATCTGGAGGGATCACATTACCCAACTTCAAACTATACTGTAAGGCTATAGTTACCAAAACAGCATGGTAGTGGTATAAAAAAAGGCACTTGGACCAATGGAACAGAATAGAGAACCCAGAAATAAAGCCAAATACTTAACAGCCAACTGATCTTTGACAAAGCAAACAAAAACATAAAGTGGGGAAAGGACATCTCCACATTCAACAAATGGTTCTGAGATAATTGGCAAGCCACATGTAGAAGAATAAAACTGGATTCTCATCTATCACCTTATGCAAAACTCAACTCAAGATGGATCAAAGACTTAAATCTAAGACCTGAAACCATAAAAATTCTAGAAAATAACATTGAAAAAAATCTTTCTAGACATTGGCTTAGGCAAATACTTCACGACCAAGAACCCCAAAGCAAACACAACAAAAACAAAGATAAATAGATAGGACTTAATTAAACGAAAAAAGGCTACTTCACAGCAAAAAAAAAAATCAGCAAAGTAAACAGACATCCCACAGAGTGGGAGAAAATATTTGCAAACTATGCAACCATTAGACGAAGGATTAATGTCCGGAATCTACAAGGAACTCAAACAAATCAGCAAGAAAAAAAAAACAAATAATTCCATTAAAAACTGGGCTAAGGACAGGAATAGACAATTCTCTAAAGCAGATATACAAATGGCCAACAAATATATGAAAAAATGCTCAATATCACTAATTATCAGATAAATTCAAATCAAAACCACAATTCAATACCACCTTAGTCCTGCAAGAATGGCCATAATTAAAAAATAAAAAAAAAAAGATGTTGATGTAGATATGGTAAAAAGGGAAAACTTTTACACTGCTGGTGGTAATATAAACTAGTACAGCCACTATGGAAAACAGTATGGAGATTACTTAAAGAACTAAAAGTAGAACTACCATTCGATCCAGCAATCCCACTTTTCCTCTGGGTAGAGGAAAATAAGTCATTATATACAAAAACAAACAAACAAAAAAACACTTGCACATGCATGTTTACAGCAGAACAATTCACAATTGCAAAAATATGGCGCCAGCCTAAATGCTCATCAACCAACGAGTGAATGAAGAAAATGTGGTATATATACCACAGAATACTACTCAGTCATAAAAAGGAATGAAATAATGGCATTCGCAGCAACCTGGATGGAGTTGGAGATGATTATTCTAAGTCAAGTAACTCAGGAATGGAAAACTGAAGATCATATGTTCTCACTTACAAGTGGGAGCTAAGCTATGGGGATGCAAAGGCATAAGAATGATATAATGGGCCAGGCGTGGTGGCTCACACCTGTAATCCCACCACTTTGGGAGGGTGAGGCAAGTGGATGACTTGAGGTTAGGAGTTCAAGACCAGCCTGGCCAACATGGTGAAACCCCGTCTCTATTTTAAAAATATGAAAAATTAGCCAGGCATGGTGGCACAGGCCTGTAATCCCAGCTGCTTGGGAGGCTGAGGCAGGAGAATTGCTTGAACCCAGGAGGTGGAGGTTGCAGTGAGCCAAGATTGTACCACTGCACTCCAGCCTGGGTGACAGAGCAAGACTCTGTCTCAAAAATAAATAAATAAATAAATAAATAAAACAATATAATGGACTCTGGAAACTTGGTGGGAAAAGTGAGAGGTAAGGGATTCAAGACTACACATTGGGGGCAGTGTACGCTGCTCAGGTGATGGGTGCACCAAAATCTCAGAAATCACACCTAAAGAACTTATCCATGTAACCAATCACCACTTGTTCCCGAAAAACTATTGAAATAGTAATAATAATAAAAATAATTTTAAAAAAGAATGTAGTAGGCTTCCCATCTATTTCACTTCTAAGAACACCATGATTAATTGACCAATGCTGTAGTCTACACAAGTCAGAGTATTCTGATGGTTGCTCTGATTCTGCTGTTCACCATAACTATGCTCACCACACCTTTGGCAGTTGAGTGCTGCCACTTGGCCCATGCTACCCTGGGATCCAGTTACTCCCACGACATTTAATTTTACCAGTTGAGTCACTGTGGTTCCTACTGCAAGGTCTGGCCTACAGAGAAGAACAATCACAGAGCTTTTCGAGGATGTTGGGGCTCCACGTGGAAATCTATTTCTTAAAGTATTGGCAAAGGTTATGTCTTCTGAACTCTCCCAAAGTGGGTGAGTAGGTCTTAAATGGCAAATCTACCCTAATTACATTCCAATCTCCTTAAGCCTCTCAAGTTCTTCCTGTATGTTAAATCAAGAGATAATAGGCATCTCCAACTTACACACCATGAGTCATCTTTTGATCCATCTTTCAGCTAAACAACCAAACTGTCAAGAGTCCTAACTCCCTGAGTTGCAACATTAAATGAAGGCTCTCTTCTTAGTAGGTCAATATCAATAAATTCATTCTGATCCAACTTTATGTTCCTTCCATTACTATACCAAACCCTCAATATCTATTCCAACCCATGTTTCCCAGATTTCTTCTTATATAAATTGGAAATTTTTCAAGTGGTTCTTTTGGAATGCAGTGCACCCCTCATGGGTCACACTTTGTACGTCACCTTTAGGGGCCTGCTGGGGCTTCAGTCTAGTTATAAGTCTAGAAACAAAGAGGGGTGGTGGGGGATAGGTCCGGAGAAAAATCTGAATTGTCTTGCTTGACAACTGCCTTAGGAAATGCCATTACCATTTCCTCAGGCAGTGCAAAGTTAATCCCCTCAGACAAAGGTGGAAAGGCAGATGCTGCTGTGGGTGGGGAAGGCTGCTAACATTAAGGTTGGGATGCCACTGCTGCTAGGGGTGAAGAAGCAACTTCCACTGGCATAAAAGACTCATCCAAATTTAGGAGCTCAATGTCCCCAGCTTCATCAGAGTCTTCCCACATGTCCACATCCAAACTTATAGGATCCCATTCTTTCCCAATCAATGCTCTCACTTTAACAGTAAATACTCTGCAAGACTGGGAGTTCAACTTTTACTGTAATTCAATTATATAATGAAACTTTGTGTTTGGTTTTTAGCAATTTTATCCCTGTGGCTACAGGACATAAGATTCTCCCTCAGGATACACCTAGAAACTCTTAGGTCACATATGCATTGCTTGAGCCTAGAATTTGAATCTGTGAGCTCATCCTTTTCTTTCATCACTTTATCCAGTGACATCAGGAGCAACCAACCGATATCATTATATTCCTTAGTTT